AACACAGATGCCAAGGGGGCTAAAGCCACTGGGATGGTTGCTTTTATCTCTTAACTGAAACATGAGTTTAAAAGGCAAGCCCTGAAATTGGGAAAATTTGTTCAAATGCACCCTTGGTTTGAGCTGATTTTCATCGTAGATGGACGAACTGCTGGTCGGTGACTTTCTACATGGCTGTGTTGTATAATACAACCTTTTCTTTATTTCGTGTTGAACGATGCTGTATATTTCAATTCCAAGTTTATTTATTCTCTTTTCCAAGGTCATTTTATTTATTTCAAGTGTTTTTAACTTTAAATTTATTTTCTTCTTAATTTTATTTCTTGTGCAATACCTTCAATGGTGCTGTGTTTTAGACTTACACAATCAGAATATAAATATGCATTTTCTTAGTAAAATGATCATCTATCCCCCCAAAAAATGTACAGTGATCTAAAATCTGGTGCTATGTGTATATCTTGAACTTTTCATCTGTTGAACTTTAATTTGTTGAATTTTCTGAAAGCTTACAACACATCTGCCACTCATTAATTTACTTGAATTTGCCATAAAGCTAAACATTTCATATTTTTAAAGGTTACTTTTTCATATTAATTGTTTGTCTATCCTTTGGCCTTTTTGCTAATCCAGAAGTATTTATTTTAGCATTTTAATGTTTTCATGAACTATTCTTTGCTCATGGTGATGGATGCATTTTTGTTTTCTTTGAATCGATCCCTTCACATATGTAAGAAGGCTTAATTCAGTTTCTTGTTTTATAAAATTCTGTTCATTTTAATTCCAGAGGATAAGGCATGTATCCTTTCTTACAAATTACATATTTAGGAACTTTTCTTTTTCTAAATTGCACTCGTGCTGGGCCGGTTTATTCCAGTTTCAAGAATTTGAATTTATTCTGGTGATTTGAGGAGCGGGGACGTAGACTGCTATACGGTGCATTTCAAAGTAGAGCTGTCACAGTGATTCAAGCTCTTTTTCTTACAACTGACACGTGTGACTCCATCTACCTTGGGTGTAACCAGAGGAATGGAGCTGTGTCACCTGGAGCATCTCCGCTCAGCCTCCTGTATATTCACCAGCCCCACCTCTGGACACATGACATGCAGCAAAGAGCACCAGGAAAGCCTGGGCCAGCTGATACCACCCCAGATAAAGTGGAGATCTGGCAGTTGCCTAATTCTTTTAACAAAAAGAAAGTAGATAATTAAGGCCCCAAAGGAGGGTATGACATTTTCCCCTAACTTGGTGGCCGGCAATTCTCTTGTATCATTCTGTTTCATTCCAATCCAAAACATTTGTTTACTTTCACACAGATGGCAGTAATGTCCCCAGCAGGAAAGAAGAATGATCAAATTTCCTGAATTATCCCTTGTTTGGACTTCAGACAAGTGTGTTTAAATGCAAAATAATTACAGGCCATGATGACAACAATTTAAACTGTGTTTGCCCTATATAAGCATGTTTGAATTCCAGTGTAACATTTTATACCAAGATCAGTTAACACTTTCAGATAGAAATCTTTCTGTGCAAAGAGCAAAATGTGACTTCAACTAGTATTTATGGCCTTTGGAATCTAAAGAAAAAAGAAAGACTAATTCATGAGTTTGTTCATGATTCTTTCCTACTGAAAACATTAAGCAATTTTTCCTAACCGTAACAAAAACACAGTCAGTCTTAACTTTTGAAGTTTTTCACCTTGTGATCAAAGTAATTTAATTAATGATCTTAAAGCAATCCCATATGCTTATTTCTATATTTCATGACATTTTTGAAACTTTAAATTTTTAGTCACTTTTATTATAGAGCTTCACTATTTATCTTGAGATATGTTGTCTGTAAAAGATGTCATTTGATGTTTGGATGATAAAATAATTTTTTTATGAACATGTTTTAGGAGTGAAGTAAGATTTAGCTTTTCTGCAGTGTTCCTCATCTCTTGAGAACCTGTGATATACCTCCTTTTGTCCACAAGATGGTATCTAAAAGCAATTTGTATCAGAAGAACGGAACAGACTTGCAGAAACACAAGGCTTGAAATGGCTGAGTGGACAACTAAGTCAGACTCCTTGCTTTTACACTTACTCTTTTTCACTTTTGTAAATAACTTCTTGTTAATTTATGTTTTGTTATTTCATTTTGTTAATTTATACTTTTCCTCATTTTAAGTATCTTTATGATGCCAGCATAATGATCTTTGATCTGTTGGCTGTTTCAATTTTATTTCTTCAGTGGATTTATATGCCTAGTTAACTTGCAAATTTACTATCTGTAACTTTGTCCTACCCCCGTATTTTAGTGGCTAACATGGAAACACTTGAGCAATCTTCCTACCTTTTAACAGGATAGCAAAGTCTCTTTGGACAAATAAAAAGAATTTAGCTTATCACAAGAAGTAAATCATTTATAGAATTAGACAATGTCTGAATCTCCATGTTGTTCAAAGTACTTACAATTTTACGATTAGATTTGTATAATTTATATTTTTCTAGAAATGTATCAATATTTACAAAAGTGAGATAAGGAACACTATTTTTCAAAATACCATTTAAATTTTCTTAACATGGGTAACAATATCTTGATACTGAGAATTTCTAGGTTAAGTTTTACGCTTAAGTTTTTTCCTATAAATTCACAGAATAGTTTTGCAGATTTGTTCATTGCTCTTGTTTTGAAGGTGTTTTTCACATTTGTCCATGTCCACCTTCTTAGACATGCTGATGTTTATTGTCAGTGTTTCCCAGTGTTCTTTCTTGATACTCTGGTGTGGACGATTGGACCCCCTTTTATCCCCCTCTCTCTCACACAGATTGCACAGCCGTCTAGGAGGGAGACGCAGACAGAAATTGAACTTGTGTCTTGGATGCCTGTTAGCTCAAAGCACCTTAGCCTATTGAGCTGCACACACTCATTAGTTGGCTGGTAAGGGCAGCATCTATGACATTAAATTTGTTTAACTGCTGGGACTCTCAGGAATCAAGACACATGGATGACTTCAGTTTTATCATGTGATGTACCTGGAGCTATAACTCAGACAGTTCACTCAACAAAATCATGCCAGAAGAATGGGTCAATTTAGTTAAATTGAGTGGAGAACCAGATGAACCCAGAGGAAACTCAACCTGAGAAGCAGACCCAGAAGAGCAAAAATTCACCTCCAAGATCAGGCAGGCTCATAAAACCAAGCCGGGTCTAAGAAAATCTGAATGGAAAAAATGTCGTGTTCAGATCCAACAGTGAGTGATGTGGGTTACAACCCCAGGAGTTAGCGACTTGCTTCCTGAATTTGTCAAAAGTGAATACAAATGAAGTAGGAGTCACTAAATATAGGGAATAGTTCAGTAAAATTTAAGTTTCTCAGAAGGGTGTGCGTTGTCTGACCATGATAAGCATATGGGTGTAAAGATGCTAATTACTTACAACGTTTGATTTTGCTGCATTATTTAAAATACATTTTAGGGTTAAATATTTTCCAGGGTATAGATGTATTTAAATTCAGATTGTTTTATGGCATATTTTGTAACTATTTTTAAAATAGCACTTAGGATGCTTTTTTTGGGCCATTCTGTTCTCTTGTCTTACCTCATCGAGCTACTTAAGATTGAATTCGGCATATTCATGCTAAGAGGAGTGGCACTGGTTTTACTCAGAATCCCACGTGGATATAATTAATGCTCTGAGGCCTTGACTCCTATATGTTTTTGATGCATAATGAGCTTGTCACATATCTCAGCAATAAAGGATTTGACCCTAAATCAGGGAATTCTGAGGTGCAGCTGTTAACACTCTATCTTCTTTGGAAGCTCCACACTGCAGTCCATTGTGGTGGGTCCCAACCACAGGGAGGCTCCAAACACACGCACACACCAAGCACACCATGCATGAGCCAGACACGTGTTTGAGGAACATGCAGGTTGGCCTGTTGCAGAGTTTATGTTTATACCATGCTGGCCATTTATACTTTTGTTTATCATATGAATCAACGCTTAGCTCGAAATAATTAAGTTTATAACCCATCTCTCTGGCACCTTATAAAAAGCTTGGTCTGTTGATTTTGGATGAGAATTAAAAGCAGAAACAAAAGTCAGAGAGCAGCCAGTCCTTTGTGACTTGTGTCCCACAAAGTGATCTTCTCACTAAACCACGTGGCCTGAGCAATAAATATCACAAGGAACTTAATAAATATAAGCCCTTCCATCATTAGTGGTAAGGCAATAGACAATGGGACATGAACTACATCGCTTATTTCCTTAACTGACATGAATCACATCAAAACACGCCAGTGGATTTATATGCGCTTAGACCAGGAAATGCCTTACGTAGTTCTCATCCTGGGGTCCCCTTAGGACATAGTGAATGAGCTGTGTGCTCTCTAGGGAATATTCTGAAGTCTTTTCACACAG